GTAGGGTTAGACTGGACATAAGGGAGAAAGCATTTACAGTCAGTAAGAGTGGTGAGACACTGGACCAGGGTTGCCCAGAGCAGCTGTGGCTGGCCCCCCCCTCGCAGTGCCGAAGGCTTGGAGCAGCCTAATCTAGCAGAAGGTGTCCCTGCCGATGGCAGGAGGGTGGGACTAGAAGATCTTTGAAGGTCCCTTCCAACCCAAACCATTCTGTGATTCCATGCTTCTTTAGGAGTTTTAAGTGCACTGCCTAAATGCATTTTGGTTTTGAGCAGAACAGGTAGCTGTTCTCTGAAGACTAAGAGTAAACTCTTCACAGATAATCGTAGAGCCCTTCATTTCCACTAACTTCTCTGACTCTTCTGGGGTAAATGAATGTAATCAATTATGACTTATTTTCATTAAAATAAAGTAGAAAAGCATTTTAAATATAGGTGGGTTCTGCTACAATATTTCATAGCTTACCTACCATGTAATATTGTAAATATTGTAATAAATACTTTATATTGCACTACAGAAAAACCTTTGTCTTTTGATGTTTGCTGTGTGTGAAAGAGAAAAATACAGGATTAACTTGTTCAATTAATAAAATGATGTGATTTTTGATTTTTTTTTTTCCTTTCAGAAAGCAATGTTCCAAGAGATACTATTGCTGAAACCTCATGAAGTTGTTATCAGGCAACAGTGGGACTATAGTAAACTTTAAAATTATATTTCTGTTTTAATGCTGACATTTGATACATTCTCCTCATTAACCTGAATTTCTTATAAGTCTCTGTCCCTGGAATTTACCTATGGTAAGTGATGGTTATTCCGTAGTTTGGAACTACTGTTACAGGGGAGATTCAGGTACTAAATTCCAACACATGAGTACCACTGCCATTGATAGAATATCCATTTTTTCCTTTAGGACCTAAATCCCAAAGGCTAGTTAAGTAAAAAAAATAGTGTATTCACTTCTGGTACCAGATGAGGTCACTGAAGTCTGATAATACTAGGGAGCTGGGAACACAGCTCCCAGGGAAGTCCTGGTTTATTCCGGTATATTCATAAAATAGGCATTTCCTGTGTATCGCGGGTACAGGTAGATACAGGAAACGGCAGTGTCAGGGTGAATGTGTGTAGGCAGCGCTCTGTGCAGCATGTTGTCTCTTGTGAGTCCGAGGTGCCAGTTCTCATGCACGGAAAAAGGAACCCGCTGCTTAATTCAGGGCTGCGACTTCCCCTGAAAGCCTAGCACCTGGCAATTTGAGGATACAACGTGACATCCAAGATTCTCTGTGAACCTAGTCTCATCGTGAGAGGTGAGGGGCTGTAACACTCCCTTTTTATTCTTAAAATGCCTTTTGTTATTACCAAGTGAATCAGGTATTCCCCAACATTTGTATATACCTACAACATCTGGTAATCACTAAAAAAGACATGGGTGCATGAAGAAGAGTGTGGTCAGCAGGTCGAGGGAGGTTCTCCTCCCCCTCTGCTCTGCCCCGGTGAGGCCACATCTGGAGTGCTGTGTCCAGTTCTGGGCCCCCCAGTTCAAGAGGGACAGGGAGCTACTGGAGAGAGTCCAGCGGAGGGCTAGGAAGATGATGAGGGGGCTGGGAAGATGATGAGGGGGCTGGAGCATCTCCTATGATGAAAGGCTGAGAGACCTGGGGCCCTTTAGCCTGGAGAAGGCTGAGAAGGGACCTTATCAACACTTACCAATATCTCAAGAGGGAGTGTCAGGAGGATGGGGCCAGGCTCTTTTCAGCAGTGCCCAGTGACAGGACAAGGGGCAACGGGCACAAACTGGAGCACAGGAAGTTCTGCTTGAACATGAGGAGGAGCTTCTTCCCTCTGAGGGTGGCAGAGCACTGGAACGGGCTGCCCAGGGAGGTTGTGGAGTCTCCTTCTCTGGCGATACTCAAAACCCGCCTGGACGTGTTCCTGTGTGACCTGCTCTAGGCTGACCTGCTTTGGCGGGGGAGTTGAACCAGATGATCTCCAGAGGTCCCTTCCAACTTGTACCATTCTGTGAGATGAGTCATTCTAGTTCTGGTGAGGAACATCCTTTTACACAGAATGCACCATGCTGAGCAAGATAAAATTCAAAAGCTTTAAACAAATACAACAAAATTCTAAAACCTTAATGTAATCTGTGACTATAGAAATAATTAAATTTCTAACTTGTCTGTTACAGGCTAATGCTGGAGCAGGTGGGTTTGGGAAAGACTGGGGAGGTACAGAATGAAGCGAGTAAGAATTATCATAGAATATAGAATGTATTGGGTTGGAAGGTACTTCTAAAGGCCATCTAGTCCAAGCCCCTACAACAAGCAGGGACATCTCTAACTAGGTCAGGTTGCTCAGAGCCCCATCAAGCCTGACCTTGCACATCTCCAGGGATGGGGCTTCCAGTACCACGCTGGGCAACCTGTTCCAGTGATCCACCACCCTCATATTAAAGAACGTTTTCCTAATGTCAACCTAAATCTACCCTTTTCTAGCTTAAAACCATTACTCCTTGTCCAATCACTACAAGCCATTGTGAACAATTACCAACATAGGGCTAGTATGTATATGTAGTATGTAATAGGATATATATCTGTATAGCATCGTTGTGAACAATTACCAACATAGGGCTAGCATGTATGTAATAGGATATATATCTGTATAGCATCTCTAGAGCAAAATAATCTGTCTGTATCATCTGGCAGAGAACAACTGTATTGGTCATTACAGTTCATTTTGGGACCCATCACCAACTGGATCTGATTCATTACTAAGGGCAGATGAAATAAGCATACATACAGCATTCATTTATGAATTTGTACATATGTAACAGATTGAGTTGTATCTGAAATGGTATACGCTTATACATATGGAATAACCATAAGAAATCTATTTCAGCTTTTTTTTCCAATTTTGTCTGCTTCTTCCCTCCTTTTTTTTTTCTTTTTTCCTCTCAACTTTATTTCTAGGTTTACCGCTTTATGCTAAAATGATAATTCCTCTTAATTCTTGCAGATTTTGACCACCATCTGTATTAATATGGAAATCAGCTTTTTTTTTTTTTCCAGATCAGATGATCTCTCTTTCCAGACATTCATTTCCCAAGGCTTTCAATAGTAAAAAATCAGTAAATAATCATTAAATTGTTACAGCTAATTAAATTATATAAAGTCTGCTAAATTATATAAAGCCTGCTACCATGGGAGCTGGCATCCTAAAAAAAAAAGCTAAAGTTTTAAAGACCTTACTAAAGTTACCTTCAAGAACTGATGCAGCCTCTTGCCTCCATCTGTCAGCCACATACCTGAACTGGTTTGCTGAGCTTGCAGCTAGCATCACAAGTGGGTAATCATGAAACCCAAGCTAATGGGAAATTCAGAAGCCTAGTTCCATGTGATAAGAGCATTCTTCCCTGTCATCTCTTTAAACAGCACAAAGATCATGGAACAGAAAAAAAAAAATCCCAATTTGGCAATCCTCCTGGATGCCAAGCAGAGATAGTCCAAGCCAAGGAAAAACCCAAAGAGCTCAGTAACCAAACATTACGTACAGCCTTTTCTTGACAGCCTCTGTCTCGACCTTCTGTCCTGCAAGACACTGTAACACAACAGCATGAACCTACCTGTTTTAAAGCTGCATGGTTACGCTGGCACCGAACTCCTACAAGAAAGTTACATGAGATAAAACCCTTCTGAGCTTGGAAATTCCAGCAGCCTTACTCCCTCCATTGTTATGAGTCCCTTTTTTCCTTGTCACAAGGAAAGATGTGCTAACAAACAAACGTCCCCTCCTCCCCACAATCACTCAATCAATTGGAGTTAACACTGTCAAGGAAGGTACTACTTGGCCAAGACAGCATTTTAGATGCTTGATTAAACTCCCAACTCAGGTGAAAAGGAATCCTAAAAACAGGTCTTTCTCTATTAATAGCCTGCAAATTTCTTTTTTTTATGGCCTTTCAACTGCTTCTTTCATTTTACCCCCTAAAGCAATACTTCCATTATACATAGGGAAACAAACCAATAACAAAGCAGAACCATTAGGCTTAGAAATGGTAAATATGAAAGTTGAGCATGTACTATTAGGTGAGACCACAACCACAGATAAAGGCAAAAAGTGGTTTACAGTATTTTTTTCTCCGGTAAACCTTCAAAAAGGTGCCTCCTGTATTTGATTTGTTATTAGATACAAAGAAAAGATAACTGCAGCTAAGAAACAATTGGTTTTTAAACACTTCTTCCAGTTAATGTGCACACACACACACACACATGTGTGTCTTGAGTGTCTTTTTCTTTCTTGAACTGAACTCAAGTATTGAATTTTCTGGGTTTTATTCTTTCCTTCTGAAAGTGGAATTGTTTTGTCTCCTGGAAATATTCCCTGAGCATAACAGAGAGACTCTTACTTTATTGCTTTGTTTTAAGCATCTTGGCAATTTAATAATTTTATTTGAAACATACCGTGATAAGGTTGCCTGATACCCCTTGACTTTATTGGGCGACTAGTGCCACAGGAGTCTAATGCTGAATGTGTTTCTGCTCACTAACCATGACGAGTATTGCCTGTGGTGCTTATAGCCATCATAAACAAGTTACTTCGTCATTCCCCTTTGGCAGTCAGTGATTGTATGGCATTAAATAGTATTTCTATGATCATTTTTTGGTCTTGAAGGTCCCCAGGATTTTGGGCATGAATTTTCCCATCTTCTTGTCTTTGGCATCTGTGTCATACTCCTCTTCACTTTGACTTGTATGTTCATCTTTTTTGCAGAAGACCTCAAATCTACTGTAGACGCGCTTCTCCTTCCGCATATTCTCCATTTTTTTCAGAAGGGTATCTCTGTCCTCTGATGGTTGCCGCTGAAGATTTCGTTTCTGGCTCCCAAAACTCTCTGACCTGTGGATGTTACAGCTTTTCTCCTTCTCACCTTTCCTTTCCAAGCTTGTAGTTGACTTAGAGAGATCAGGGTTACTAGTGGATGGTAGTTGCTTGGCCAGTTCAGCTCTGTTCTTCTGACTGTTTGCAGAGATTTGTTCCAAAATCACCTTGGTATCATCACGGAGGTTGCTGCTGTACAGGATGTTAGCTGTGGATGAAGGAAATCTCCCCTGTGTCGGCTGGCTGCTTTTGGGAGGAAGTGGTGTGGAAAATTTATGGGTTTTTTCCTCCTCCATCATTTCCTGACAGTCCCCTACGGAAGATCGCTTGAGAACCACAGCCTGCTTCTCAGATTTTGCACTCTCAGAAGTGGGTTCCTCCTCCAATTTCTTTTCACCTTTTGGGTTCAAAAGCTGCTTCAGCCGCAGTGACCCTTTTCTTAAAAATTCCATTGGATTTTGCTCTTGTTTTGAACAGTCTTCCTCAGATTTATTGAGAGAGCTGTCAGATCCTTGACTTCTAGGTAAGTTTTCAAGAACTGATGTGGTACTTGTCCTAATCTGTGGTTTCTTCAGTTCTGTATTGACTAGTTTTTGAGTGTCTTCTTTGAAT